TTCACAGATGTTGATGAAAATTGTAGTTTACAAATTATGCACTCCTAAAGTTTAAGAAATTAATATAATTTATAATCTACAGATGTATGAATCAAATAAGATTAAATTAGAAATTAAATATAATAATGAAAAAATTGTTTACATTATTCATTGTCTTAAGGATAACTTGAATTTAAAATAAAATTATTTAAAAAATAACCTTACTTTAATTTCAGAATTTGGTTTCCAATATTTAGGTGCAAACTGATCAGCAACCCAAGATGATAATAAACGAGATGGCTCATAACCAACACTTGCAACAGTTTCAGACAAATATGTTACCCCATCTAATACTTTCCTAGCTGGATTCATACTTGAAGATGAAGGCAAATCCATCTAAATAAATAATAACATATTCTTAACATATTAAGTTTCTTGAAAAATATAAATGTTATAATTAATGAAAATATTCTTTTTGTAATATATGTATTGTATCTCACTTAGAAGTATAATTGAATGATATATAATTGATAGTTAAATATTATATTATTACAGGAGTGTATTAAAAAAATTGTCCTGTTAATTTATGATCAGTCAAAGTATTAAAATAGCAAAATACTGGTATTTAATACAACACCCCTGAAATCTATATATTTATACTTAGGACTTGAAAATTTTATCACTTTTCATGTTGAGGTCTTCTATCATTTTTAATAATTAACAATTATTTAAATTTTTAATAATTTTGAAAATTTTTTAAAATAAGAATTAACAATGAAATACAATTTTTTTACAACATGTTAACATTATTCAGAATTATAATATAATTGTGTTTTTACTTTGGCCTTTTTTAGTAACACAATTTTACAGAAGTTCAAATGAACTTTTAAAATGAAGACTTTTAGGCAAATTTATCTAAGCAATAACATAGAAAGTCAACAAGTGTAACAATTTTGAGTGAAATTTGTATAATTTAATTTTTTTTCCTACTGAAGAAAAACTTAGATAACCTTTCCAAAACGTTATATACACCCCTGTATTACTTTAAACATCAAATAAAAAATAAATGAAACATTTTCATCATGTTAAATTATTTTTGTTTATCTGAAATATTACAACCAAATTATTTAAAAATATTAGTTTAAAACTTACACCTGGCCAAATATGTCTCGTTTCTGAATATACTGCAGTTTTTTCGGGGTTATCATTACCATACCAATACTGTTTACTACGATATATAATTCCACATTTTGGACATTCAATAATGTATCTAAAATAGATTTTAATAAATAACAAATTTATATAATATATACATTTTTTAAAGAAAAATTACTCAGAAAAAGCATATTTGAGCCATGAATTTTGGTTTTCATTTATATATTTTGTTGTAACTTCTATGGCATTTCCATTGTCTTTACACACTTTACATATATAAATAGAATTTTCAAATTGAGATTGAAATCTAAAATTAAATTCTTATAAATTTTTATCTTATAAATAAGTTTTTAATACTGTCTAAAATAATGAAAATATTTACCTGCACTTAGAATTACTAAAGTGAGGAATGTTATCTTTCAAATGGCCAACACTATTTGCACAACGTTGTTCACAAGATTGACATATTGTAGGACAAGTCAAATGTTGATCTGGGAAAAGTGGTTCAATTGAATTTTTGATAACACCAGTAAACTTGTCGTTCAGTGCCTGTAAACAAAATTAAAAATCATATTAATTAATGTAAATAAAAAAGATTAGTTTGATTAAATTACTTTTAATGTAAGGTATACAACATGTGGTGAACGCTGAGGTCTATTGGAGTTGATCAACAATTCTTCATTAAGTACTTCTCTAATTGGTCCAAAATCAGTAGGTGGAACAATTGTTTGAATACCAATGTATCGTAATGATGCAAAACCATCTACATTAAGCTGTAGCTCATGAAATCTTTCATATATCTGTTCTGAAGCATTTTTACCATTACCTAAAATTATAGAAATGTTACTAAATGTTTTATAGAACAAAAAAATTAACATACAAGATATTAGAGGTTCAGTGTTTCTTGTTTCATGAAAAATACAAAGTGATGGTCCTTGAGTTAAATCGGAAGACTTTACTGGATCTGAAGAATGGTAATTGACAGATTTTAAAGCTTTTTGAAAATGTTTAATGTATGCCTTTGATGCTGAACCAAGGAAATTGAACATATCATCTTGTAACCGCTCACCTTTGACTTTATAAATAACTATATCTGATACAGCTAAAACCTACAAAAATTAAGATACAAATATTTATTAATATCCAACAATTACTGTATTATCATACATATAATATACTTTTGTTATCCGACACTTATGTGTAGATTGATTATTTGATTTTTGTAGGTTCTCTTATTTTTATATTTTAATATGTAAGTTTAAATATATTATTTCAAGTTGATTAAGATTATAAAAAAATGTCTAAAATAGTTGTAAACTATTCTTATTTTACTTGTTCTTAACTTGGAAAAAAGTACTAATGATACAAATAAACCACGAATACAAAAGTTGGTCGGACCGATTTTACATTGGTCCAATGTACTCAATGTTTATACATCACATTTTTCTCAGTCAAATAAAAAAAAAAACTTGACATTTTTCAATGTTTAAATATTATTTAATTGGACTATTATGCAGTATGAACACNTTGACATTTTTCAATGTTTAAATATTATTTAATTGGACTATTATGCAGTATGAACACATTAAAAATAATTAAATACTAAAAGAGTTAAAGAATTCAATCTTACAATTAAATAAATAAAATGATTGTTTACTACTGTGGACAATCCTTCATGAACCCTCTCAGATGAATATGTTAATTTATTACCAAAATGTTCGTAACATTAATAATAAATCTGGCCATTTAAAAAGTAAAATCAATAGCTCATTAGATGATGTTTTTGTATTTACTGAAACCTAGTTATCAAGTAATATTGATTCCTCTGAATTGGTATTTCTTAATTATATTATTTATAGGTTTCATAGAAATACAAGTCAATTGTCAAAAGATGATCATAAATCTTCTAATTATTTATACTTCAATGAGTAAATTTTTAATTAAAAATCTGGTGATTATGAATCAATTTTAAGCTATTTAAGTTAATTAAATTGGCTTGATTATTTTAGCTTTGATATAGAGAACAATATGGATATTTTTTACTATTGATTTATAAATTATGCAATTAATAAAATTGACAAAATTTGAAAACAGACGACCTTCTTTAGTGTCTAACGAGCAAGAGTTTACATGTGCCTTGGCTTTACTCTATCTATCTATCTTATAATTTTTTGAACTTTTCCCATGGCACATAGATCTATGGAAATGTCTAGTTAAGTAACATACAATTGCTTGGCAATTATTATTTGCGATAAGATATCATCTTCATCTAAATGAGCTTGTAATTGATGATCCTCAACAGTTATAGGTCAATTTTCATGCTTATTATCATTCAGGTTGAATCTTCAAGTGATCTTTGAATTGATAAAAAAAATATCTGCATATTATTTCCATTAAAGTATGGTTGCCATAAGCCTCCACTATCAATCAATGGGATTTGGCAGTCGATTTTTTCAAGTTGAAGCAGAAAAGCAGAGTTTTTTTGCATATATTTCTTTAATTTTATGGTATATTTTTTTTTTACTTTTGTTAGTTATATATGGTATTTTTAATTATCTGTTATAAAATATTTTTTATGTTCATCCTTTATGTCTTATATGGGTGACAATTTTATTTTTTTAAATGGCAACATACATATTTAACTAGCTTATAAAATAGAACATGATCTAATAAAGAAATTGACTGGTCATTGCGTTAACAACTGAGCTAGGTAGGCCGCCAATTTAAAATTACCTTTCTATAATATCTCCTTGTATAATATTGTTATGTAAATTGTAAATTGGAATATTATTCTATAATAAAGATTATTATTATACTACTTACTTTAAGTAATAATCTTATTCTTTGCTTATTATGTAAAGCTGATCCAGAAAAGCCTTCAGTATCCAAACATACAATATTCAGTGTAGGATCAAATGCAACCCAAATACCAACAGTACATGCCTTTTGTTCAGAAGACGTTCGAAAGACTTCAGAACCTTTAAAAAAACATTGATTGAGAGTATGAGACTTCCCATCACCAGTGTTACCAAAAATTGAAATAACTTTTACAGGACTGTTATTTTTATAACCATAAAGTCGTTTTACAAATGTCTCTACATTAGGAACCTTAACATAAAAAAATAGTGATAAAATTGTTTGACACTTTTAATGTATGATAAATACCTTCAGCCTTTCTTTCTCATCTAAAAGTAAAAAACTATGAGAATGATCATCACTTTCTTCATCACTGTCATTATAGTCTGGAGTAAGTTTTAATGATGTGAATTGTGATGTGATTGTAACATCAGGCAAACCAAAATCACTATGGTTAGAAATAGTATTGACTGGGGTCATTATGGCAGGTAGTTTATTATAGTTTTTCAAATGGCCAGAGCGGCCAAACAATTTATCATCCATTGACAAGACATTTCTAAAAAATTAGTAAAAAAATTATAATAATTTTAACTTAGTTAAATTCTGAATACTTTATAAAAGTAAACATCAAATTATTCATATTTGTTAGGACTACAACTAGAAAGTATACAAATAACTGATAATATAAAAGTAATATATTAATTTACCTTATAAATGCATTTAGTAAAATGGGTTTGTAATTTCTTATGTAATAATACCATAAGCTAATTTTTTATACAAGGATAAAAATCTATATTAATTTTCTAAATTAAATATTTGATTAACTTAATGAAAAGAAAGTATTAATAATTATTATTAGACAAAGGAACCCAACGAAGATGATTGAACAATAGAAGTAAAGTTCTGCGTAAAAAATATCCTTATCAGTTTTATCATGGTCAAAGAATGATATCAAAATACTGTAATCACGACTTTTCATGGCCATACAATTTATCTCTTTTTATAATGAAGAAATAGATAGCAAAATGTAAACAACGCTTAACATATTTAAAATCAACAGTATGCCATAATATAAATTTTAAGTAATGAGAACGACTGAAAAAAAATTATTTACAATCTATCAAATGTTTGATACAAAATCAAATATATTTCATATTAGGTGATATGGATCTAAGTATAAAAGATATATTTATAGGGGAAGTAAGTGTTTAAATCATTAAAAAATAATATTTATTAAAATAAAATTATTATTGTTTTAGTAGAAATATACTGAATACATTTTTTTTAGAAATAATTATTATGAAAAAACTGTTTTTAATATAAATAAACATTTTCTAAGGCCTTAACAAGTGATATATCCTGAATTTTTACTAGTTTGGCTAGGAATTTTTTTTGGCTTGTAACATACTAATGCTAAAGCTATGTACTGTTAAATGTAATATTTGACAAATTGGAGAGGGATATAGTTCCTTAAGACTCTTCAGCTACATGACTTAGTAATTAGTTGGTCTTAAAAAAAATTAGTTGTAGGAGTATATGACTTATTGATAATCATTTAAGAAAGTCATATATGTTTGAAATTTCATAAAATTAAAAATATTCATGATAGATTTTAGATAAACATAGTTATCCACTAAAGTTTTGTATTATGAAGTACAATAATGATGAGTTACAATGGCTTGTAATTAATAAAGGCTATTTTAAAGTTATTTTATTAATATGATTTTGTATTGCTCATATATGAATATTTTAATTTGAATAAAAAAAAACTTGGATGGATCTGTAATTGCCAAAAAAATAATTTTTTTTCTTGTGATACTAAAAGGCAAATATATATTATTTTATCAAAGTATTTTTTTTTTATATTATATACTTTATATTATAATAGTTTGATTATTTTAAACATTTAAAAGTTTTTTTGTTTCTTATAGATAGTATCTGTTCAAAATTATGGGGCATTCATTAGAATACCAGGAAATAAACAGCAAGGCTTGGTACATCGTAGTCAAATATCTCGAGCTCCTGTTGATGATGCCACTGAAGTATTGTCTAAAGGAGATAAAGTATGGGCTAAAGTTATTGCTATGGTATGTCAGACAGAAACATTTTTTTTAAGTATTATTAAAAAGTTAATAATATAATTTAAAATTTATGCTACATTTAATATTATTTAAAATATATTTTGTTATGGCCTATTCATATAATACACCAACTCTTAATATTTACTAAATGATTAGCATAATTATTTTCATTACTTGAAAAAAGTATAAGCTCACAAGAAGACTATGATAAAATATTATCGCAATATTTAATATTTGTTTTATTTTTCATGATGCACTTATGTTTTGTTTTAGGATGATGGAAAAATTTCCTTATCAATGAAATTAGTTGATCAAGGTAGTGGACGCGATTTAGACCCAAATGGAGTTCAAATGTTGTGAGTTATTTTTAATTGTATTAAAATCTTAAGTTTTAAAATTAAAATTATTTCACCAAAGCCAAGATGAGCAGAGAAGAAAAATTCAGCCAAATTCCAAAGGCAAACGAACTATACATTTAGATGCTATTTATAATACAAAATGTGTAAAATGTGGAACTGGTGGCCATTTAGCAAAAGATTGTTTTAAAGTAAGCTATATCTATTATTTATTACAAATGATTTAACATTGATGTAACAATGTCTAAATAAATATATTTTAATAGAATTCATCTGGAAAAATGTATGATCTTTTGCCTGAAGAAGATGAAACTGATAATTTACAAATTGCTCCTATACCTCTTTCAAATGTTGAATTAGTTAAAAAAGAAACTGTGAAAAAAAAGAAAAAGAAAAAGAAATCTAGTGCATTAAAAAAGAAAAAAAAGAGGAAAAGACATTCATCTACTTCGTCTTCAAATGTTAGTAATTACAACATATTTTAATATAATTTGAAGTAAATTAATTTTGTTTTATTTATTTTTTGTTAAATTAGAGTTCAAATTCAGATGGTAGCATTAAACAAAAGTCAAAGAAGTATAAAAAAAAGAAACGCGAATGAAGATAATCCATATTAGAATGGTAATAAATTTCTTCAATTTCAAGACAAAAACTGAATTCTGTATTATATTTAATCTACATCAACTGTATATTACTTACTGTAATTTTATATTAAATTTAATTCAGGTAGATTAATATTGTACAAAGATTAAACAGTTTTCAATATTATAGTATATTTTTTAAAGAATAAAATCTAAGTTGAAGAAATTATATTTATTATGAATTTGGATCATAAAATTATTGTTGTTTAATGGCTCTAGTAGCAAAACAAACATACATTTGTTCAAAAGTAATTGAAAGGACTTTATTGACCTATATTATAATGAACTTATTGCCTGTGGCATATTTTTATAACTAATTCTACCATTATACCTTCAGATTTCATTGAAGCACTGTTTTAAATTGTTGATTTAACTTATAAATGCATATGTACATATTTAATTAGACTTAAATGATCTTATTGTAACATTTATAAATCAATAATAAAAATAATTTTAGTTGTAGAGAGAAGTACACATATTATTATAAATTATTCTCATTAATAATTTTATGTCTACACTCGATTGTTATCAGAAATTGAAAAATTTAATTTAACCAAAATTACTCTTGTGTCCAGATAGTTTTTTCAGTGAGTTTGAAAATTAGTCAAAATAACATAAATATTAAATAACAATAAATTAATTAGACTATTAATAAACCTTTAAAAGAAATTTTTGCTGAACTAACCTTCAACTTCTGATTCTTACACTGTATATTTATGTAAGTATATTATTATTTAATTCTACAAAACTTAACTTACATCAAAAATACAATTTATTTAATTTCTGAAAATGATAAACAAATAGCAGCATTATAATTTTTATGTTATTTTTATTACTAAAATTATTATAAAAATTACATCACAATGATAATGAACTTGTGCCAAATAATATTTACATAATGTGCTGCTAAACATAGTAATATAACAAATTGATCAACAACTATTAAAACTACTAGATTAATCGTTTATACTAATATTTAATTAAATACCTAAACAATAGCAAAGAATATAAGAACGAAACAAAAATAAGAAAAGATAAAATAACACAAAAAATTCAATTAAAAAAACTAATTGATTTTTTTGACAATTATGTTAAAACATAAAACTCTATAGAACCAAAAACTATTTGATAAAATCAATGTAATGTTAAAACTGTAGATGAAAAATGTATCAAGAACTGTTTTTGGTTGTTGTTCATTCTAATTCTTCAAAATAATTTCCGGGACCTTTGAATTCTGGTTCGAAATACTTACGTAAGTACTCCGGTCTTTCATACGTTTGTAACTTTTGTGATTTCCCTGATCCTAAATCATTTGGATATTTGAATTCTTCTGTTTTTTCGACGGATGGCCACTCGAAGTGATCGTTTGAGACCTGTGGAATCGGTACTGTATGAGCAGGGAATCGCAAGGGGGATGAATCGTACTGATGTGGAGGAACACTGCCGTAGTCTGCATGAGAAGTATGAGTGTTGGCATAACCGACGTCGTAATCTGCAAAATTGGAACCTTCTGCGTAATTCACCACGTCAGCAGAAGGGTGGTAGTACGTGGAATGTTGAACAGGTATCTGATGGTGATAGACCGGAGGAGTTACTGGCTGCTCATAAGGGTTGTAGTTTGGAGGCGTCTGGTAGTGAGCGGTCTCATAATGATGCGGAGTAGATGGTTTGTAGTGAGTAGCGGGCTGATGATAGTTTTGACCGTGATACTGCGGAGCGTAACCGCCTTGTTCAACCGGTCCATTGTTAAGGTGATGGGTCACGGTGGTTGGATGGTGCGAATTGCCGATTTTCTTCACCACGGCTTGAAAACCGTTTTTGGAATCGGCCGTGTACTCGACCAAACGTATTGTACCGTCTGGTTCCATCAGACTATAGTAGCCCCGCACCGTATCGCCGTCCCGTTCTTCGTATTGTTTCTTTATGTCACCCGTGTGCGGATCGTGGACGCCGTACTCGAAGCGATAAGCTGGATGAGCCTACACATAACAGTACTGTTATTACTATTGTTTATATTACTGAAGATTTTTTTTTTTTTTTATTTAGCTCTTATATTTTCTTATTGTACTGATTTGTTTACTTTAATTAGTTTCAGTAAGTGTTATCAAAAGAAGCTAATTATACTAAATAAAATGGTAAAAAAACATAATGGTTTTTTGTGAATTGGCTTATTAATTGAATAACTTCTTGCCAAGTAGGACGAGTAAATATATAAAACACTAATATTTTTCTCCTAGAAAATTGAAGACCAGAGTAACATTTTGTAGGGTACAAAGAAATTTATTATTTTGTTTTATTTTTCTATATTGAAATTCTTATGAATTTTAATGTGATCGTGTGTAATACTAGTCACATAACATGTCACTGAATTAGTGCCATTGCACAAGATATTTATAATAAATGTGTCTGGATATTTAAACTGTTTAAATATTGTTTACTTTACAAATAGCTTAATGTCGATAGCGTAATGTACATAATTATTTTTGTAGTTGATGTCGTACTCGTTCATTGATAAATGTTGTTTTTGTCAGCTAGCCAAAGTAACGTACTGTAATTGACGTTTATATCAGTAAAAATAATGGCGTGTTATTTGTTATTAGGTCTATGAAAATATTTTGTCATACCGCAACGAATCAGACAATATTAAAAACAGAAACAAAGGGGCGGAGGTCGGCAATGTTCACCTATTGCAAGATTTTAATCGATATGCCTTTTTGTTTTATTTTTAATTTCAATAGACTATCCATTCGGTTACATTATTTTTGTAAAAAATCTCCTGTAGCAGGAAACATCTCCTTTTATGATGTATAGCAATTTATTTAATGGAGAGTAAATAAACTATCATAACGATAATAACTTTATAGTAATGTTAATTTGTATCAAATGTAGTGTGAATCAATTAATAGTGTAGCCAATAAGTGAATTACATTAGGTTTTATTATAACTCGTATTTAATTATATTTATAACTGTACCTAACTTGTAATTTTTTTTTAATAATAATAAACCTTTAAAGTTAAAATAAGTGTAAAATTCCCAATCTATTTATTTGATATACATTTTATTTTATTATCAGAGTATCTTAAGATAATTACTCAAAATGCTTATCCGTTATAGAGCCACTTTATTAGAAGACCCTATATTTTTAATAATATGATTATTTAACACACTTTGGCACAGTTGTGTTGATTGTTATTGTAGACACTTACGTATTCCCCGTGATCATATTCAGGAGCATAATATCCATTTTTCGATTCTTCTTTTGCTTGATCTACAATGTTGTTGTTTTTGTTATTGAATCCGTGATATGTGACTTGGACGTTTTCCGTGCAACATGTGTCGTGCACGATATGCCCGAACATTAAAAGCAGCACCTTAAATTGATTGATAAAAAAAAAAACAAATTTAAATTGTTATGCAAATATGATATAATAACTATTAGTGTTATTATTATAATCGATTTTTTGCATTCTATTAGAGTCAAATGCGTGCGACGTGCAAGAAAAATGAAAAAATGTGTTGAAATTTAACAAATAGTCGGAAAGTGGCATTGATCCGATTTATAATTAATGAACTCCACGTGGTCACGTCCATTAAATGCAAAATTATATGCGTACTAAACACTTAAAAAAGTGTAATGGACATTAACTGGGTGTAGACCTATTCCTATTCCAGGAATAATTATTTCACATTTCACTTAAGTACAGCTGCAGTTTTAAAATGGCAAATTATTAGAAACTGTTTATCATCAGAAATTATTAAAAAAAAGTATATGGCACTTGTAACCAGAGCCCGATATGGTTTAAGCCCTAACCTAGTGGTTAAGGTAACGTCAAAGATCATTTCGTGTTTAAAATATATCGTCAAGGGGATTGTAAAAAATGTTTTTATGCATAACCACTAAACCCTAAGTACATCGTTAACATGTATCCACAGCCAGTATGACATCAAATGAAAGACAAGATGATTTAAGATCTCATTTTGACAAACTTGAGAAATAAATCAACTGTGTAACATAAAACATAAGTGGTAATTAAGATTTGGTTCTGCATAGTTTCAGGTAAAATATTAAATTTTAGTACCAGGGATTCATCAGAATCATCGATAACATTATTAGGGCCGTCATAATGAATCGTGGCCAATTGAAAATCTCTGGCGAGACATTAATCTTATAAGTTCAATAAAGTGGCGATGCACACTGTTCGAGCCACGGCTTGTTTTCGCGAATATCCATTGTAACGCAACTGTTGTCCCAGAAATCATTACGAACTCATTGGTTTTGTAAATATTTAAATCTTTCTCGACGGTGAGTTTTGTGTACTAAAACTAAGTATCGCCATAGATTAAATACTATGTGTAATTTATCTATAGTATCATCGCGATGTCAGTTATGGATGACGTTACGTGCACTGCTCGCGGCGAAATCGTTCGTTGTTCCGGCTCCAAGTAAGTCGTCTAGCCACAATCGCACATAGACACCAGACAAACAATCCGTTGAAAAAATGACGGCGAGTCACTGGACACCCTTTTCGAAACATGTAGACGTACGATCGCATTCATTAGTCATTATGGATTCCTGGTATTAAATTTCAGATTCGCTAAGAAATACAGTCTAAAATATCGTGTGTGCGCGATATCTCATGAAGTCCTGGTACGAAATTTTGTATTTGTGGCACGGAGGCGTAATTTAGAACTTAATCAGCGCTTATTTTATTGGTATCCCTGTGATTACAAAATAAATTTTATCAATTTATAGCGGTTCTCCTGCGAGTAATTTCGAACGGGAAGACAACGTAATTTTTTAATGGTTAATTATTATACTTATCGAACAGGTTGAGAAGTGAGGCCTTTATTTTTTTTTTATAATTATGACATTTACATAGATCCCCTTGATTGACGCTAGTCCTGAATGTAAATGCACTCTCATTTCTCAAATTATAACGTACAGCAGATCCATTTGGTTTAATAAAAAAATTTGAAAACTTTCGTACAATTTTTTTACTATCATTTTTATTTACAAATAAATCCTAGGTAACAAGGAATACTTTCTAAGGATTTTATTCGTTAGGGCTGATTAGAAATGATCAAATAACCTTTTTGGGTTGTTGTGATCTTCTCTATCTTTATTGAACGGATAAACTAATTATTTTATATTTTGTGCTACATTTAATTCGAACACAATGCCTGAGCGTCGTTTACTCTTTTACTATGTCACTTTCCTTCAAATCGTTCTGATGAATGATTTATTATTTTTATAGGTACAACAATTCTATGTATGACTATGAAGAGAATTGACGATTAAATTAGTTCTTACTAATTTTATATTATTATATCAAATTCGATTTTTATCAAAAACTTTGAATAATTTTAAATATATTATCAGAAATTTTATTTGGTTGGTAAAATTAATAAAACATTCATAATTTTCATTTTAATAACGATATCTAAATACTAAGGTCAATGGTGGTCAATTATAGATTAATGACAGTTATGGTAAATTTATTTAAAAACCAAATCGTCCGAGATTTGTCAAACCATAACTAACTCGATAATATTTTCATAAGTGCGTTTTCAGAACTCTATTAGCACAGGGTCAATTATTTAATGAATATTTCATTCGACGCCCTTGATTTGAAAGTATTCTATGTATATAAGTATACAAAATTATTTTATTTATAAAAAAAAACAAGAATCTCGAAACTGAACATTTTATTTTCGAAGGAATATTGTGCTTCAAAAAACATTTTTATAGCTGTTTATAATTTTTTAATATAACCTAACAATTGTTATAATGAAGGCATATCAACAATTTGATGTTTCTTTCTTAAATTTAGCCAATTAAATTAAAAATTAGATATATTATTTTAATTTTAATGAAAAATAATTGGCGGAATTACACCAACACCGTATCTAATCTCATACACCAAATAATGTGGACATAAAACAACAAAATTTATATTCAGGCCATCTAGTCGTGTCCAAATAACTGTTATTATTTGATAATGAATTTCAATATTAGTTACACTCACAATAATTAGATAAAAAAAAAAAATTAGAAAAAAAAACTGAGAAGTCATTCTTAGTTCCTATAAATAGTTTTGAACAACAAGCCGATATTTTTTTAACTTTTTGTAAATCAACAACGTTTTAATGGATTTAAAAAATGTGAAGTTACACAAGTTTAAAATTCAGTCGTACAGTTTGATTAAAATATTGAACTTTTATTTAAAATATAATTAGTTTTTCAATGACTTAGATAAAAAAATCGTTAACTTAATACATCTGTTTAGTAATATTACTGATTAATAACAGATTCGGATTAGAAAAACTTGAACGCGTTAAAATGCTAAAATGTCCACAGTCTACATCTCTCTCCTCAATTTTTTACTTTTTTATGCATTAGAAAAAATTCTTAAATTTCCATGAACCATTTACCTCGGCCATAAATCTCTTAAATATGAGGTGGTTTAGCGATAGTAAAATATTAGTGGTTAGAATGAATGCGGAATTTTAGTTTATCTAAATGCAGTTAGTAAAGTCGTTTTATTTAAATTTTTTCTGCAAAATCATTTATAAGAAATGTTAGTTAAATTTTATTTATAGTTATATTGATTTTTAAATTTAGAGACATTGTTTATAAAATTAATTGCATTTAGATAAACATTATCCAATGTCATAAAAAATGTACGAAATTTTTATTAAAAGTGCGTGTACGAACCTTATAGTATTTCATTATGACACTAATTTTCAGCACTAGTTGTATTTATATTATATGAAATGGATCAAAATAATCTTTTGGATAAATCCAATACGTTACATAAATTTTGAAAGCATGCAACAAATGATCGGTCGGAAATAACAAAAACACTGAAGATTTTGCACTAATCAAAAATTACACAATATTAATAATGTTTACAGATAGTTTTATATGTTTAATAGAAAAGCTGTTGATTATAAAATATAAATAGTTTTCAACAATCGATATGCAACAACTTAAATTCATCACGTTGTTTATCGTCAACACACAAATATATACCTCTCCTTCTCCACTGAAAACGCGACTTTTCTTGTCCTTGCTCCTTCCCAATGTTTGCATCTGGGCATTACGATGCATAATAACTTCACCTGCTAAAAAACCATCAGGTACGTGCCGTAACGATGACCTAAAATCGATAGGCGATAGTTTTACATTTAATTGTGACCGCCAAGAAGGACCTGAACGGCTTGTGGACTATCTGTCTTTAAATTTTGAAATAAAAAAAGTAAATAATACGGTTAATGTATGTTTTATTATTTTCATATATAAGGCACCGGTAATATTTAACAATAATAATAAATATTGTCAAATACTTAAAGTAACATGCTAAAAATCTAGTAACCTCATTTAATTTATAATAGAGTTATTTAACTCTATGTTATAAGAATAGTGTGATTAGTTTTTTACTTATAGCACTACCAGAGTTTACCCGTTGTGCAGAATTTTGAAGTTTTCTCTTAATAAAATTTGTGTATCAAAAAATAATTTGATGAGTGAATTAATAATTTTTACGTGAACAATTATACATTATGTGGAAAGACATTTGTTTACAGTTAAAAATTATGAATTATCCCTGTTTAGATAATCATGGTTGAGTAACTGCCTTATAACTGGCAAGATCAGTAGGTGGGTGGCTAGTCTCTGTAAAAATTGCATACCTCGGTTTTTGCATAAACTGGCAGTAAAGTAACTAAAGTACTACTTTGTTTTACATTTTTTTTTTGTTTTTCTTAAATAAATACACCTTTTGTTTGCAAAAAGGTTAGATAAACTATTAAAATAATCTTCTTGAGAACTCACTAGTCGGGTCTTCGTCTTAGTCCAATCTTTAACTAGTAATTTCTAAAATTTAGGTTCGTATAAAATGAATACTTCGTTTTGTAATTAACAAACTGATTGCTCACGTTAAAATGTATCAGACTATAATAATAGTTTCCAAGGTATAATGGAGTTATAGTGAAACGCATAAAATAAAAATTTTGTACGTTTATAGAATAACCTATATTTTATAAGCTTTGAAACATAGCAAGAATGTAGGTCAGGAATTATATGGAATTTAAAAATGAAATTTGGATACCTCCGTAGGCGGTTTTACGACAATGTTAAACGATTCAGAAATGTGATGAATAGGCATACATCTTCTAAACTTTATATTTCATTTCTACAAAGAGTTTGATAGTAACGCATCCATCAAAACACTATCCAATTGTCATTTTACTAATGTGTATTGACTAAAAATTAACGAT